AAATATGTAATGCCAATTGTGGCATCACAATATTATTTGAGAAAAATTAGTTCAAATATAGTGGAAAAAGCTACTTTCCAAAGTACGAAATCTAAAATGTTTTTCTTAGAATAACAATACAGAAACGAAAATTTCTAATCTTTCTTACTATATTACTGCATTTATTTTTCCAAATAAGTGGTTCTGTTATAATATTCCACAGAACACTAGGGTTCCATAGCAAGGTTCACAAGGTTCCGAAAGCAAGGACTATTTTTTTAACCAGTTACGATTTTCAAAACATGCAATTAAATTTGTATCTGATTATTAATCCAATATTTATTTAATATTTTCATTATTTTTATGAAATTATTTCATTAAAATGATTGAGAAGAAAGGAAATTCAAAACAGTTTTCTTATTAACAATATAATTAACGAAATGCATTTATCAAAAATTGCCTTAGCGTTTCGCAAAAAAAAAAAAAATTATAATAATAATAACCAAATTCAACAATGATGAAGTATGCCTCTCTGATAGCTATTCTACACGTTAAACTTCGTCCTTATTCATTTTATTTTAAAGGAAACCATATTTCAGCTCTTTCAGTTTATGCTAACACTACAGGTAAAATCAACTTCAGAACTAATGCCTCTCTAGACATGTGAATTCAACCGCCTGACGTAAAACCCAATTTTAAGACTATTTTGATAAATTAATCGATGAAAATTTCCTTCCTCATTAATTCAGTATATATTAACAAAATAATATATAAAATTTAGATCATTACATATTTTAAAATTAATTAACATTCTTTGAATAATTAATATGTTTGCAATCGCCAATGAAATTTCATTAATTAAATTTAGGGGTTTTGACAAAATAAAGTTGATTATTTTCACATTTTCACATTCGACAAAAAATGGTAACCGCTGGAGTAAATTACATTCAAGAAAACTGAAAAAGAAAGATTAATAAAAATATAAGTTTTTTCTTAACTAAATACCTCTGTTCACAAATTCATGTTATGTTTATTACCAAACACTTAATTTAAACTGCGCAATTGTAATTTATATATGGTAACATTTATTTTCCTGCAATGGCTATTTAGATATTTTAAAAGTGAGAATTATAAGCAGCTATTTTGAATGTTCTATATTTAGCTAATGAAGAGATAATTTTAATGCGTGTTTTTCTTATGCCTGTTACCATAATTAGTTGTATAAAAATTTTAATTACTCATTCGGCTGTATAATTTAACTTGTAAGGTTTTTAATATAAATCAAAATGAGTTTTTGTACTATTTTTTTATTTAGTTATTCAGTTTTCTATCTTCTTGTTCTTCGAAATGGCATCTCTCTTGGTTACAAACTTGGTCACGATAACAAAGATATGGCATTATTTAGAAGTTTCTCTTTGAAAGATTTTAAATTTTTATATTACTGCTATTGTGCGGAGGTAGCGTAAAATGAGAGAAAGCGTTTTGTAAAATAGGAGTTTATTTGCGTTTCCCTTTCGGGTGTAGAGCGTAGACTGTAATGGCGTACAAACATAGACAGCTTGCCAAGTTGGCGTATTTACAGTGTGCCAAGGGGAGATGCTCGAACGCCAAGAGCGTAACTTACAAATACGGAACATCCCGCCCGGCGTTGAAATATGCATATGTTTCAATAAGGAAAAATATATATAAAGTTACATCACTATTCTTACAAATAAAAGAAAAAGAAATAAAACAACTAAATAACCATACAATTAGTAAATGAATACAATCAGTGTAATAATTAAACAGATACAAATGAACATTTCAATTCAACTCAAAATTATCTAC